TTGGACCAGCATCAATACCAGCTGGCTTAGGTAAAGGTTTCTTTCTACTTGTTAAAAGTGATAATACCTGGTGGTAATAGGGATGGGAGTTGGTAGATCCTTAAAGAAGTCAGAAACTGTAGGGCAAAAGCACTAGTTCTATTGGAGAAGTGGATATGAAGTCCTTTTTATACTTCATGGAGACCTTCTTAAGTCCCTTGGGACTTAAAGGGACTCCTTCATACAAATGCCTGTTTTCTTATTGCTTATTTCCCACTGTAGTCTGATAGGGCAGAAGAACTCAGCTGAGGAGTCTAAAAACTTTGGCTGAGTCCCCACAATGTGACCTTGAGCAAGACCTTTCTCTTCTCTGGAATGTAGTTTTCCCATTGAGGTCTCTCTAATGATAACCACCTTCCTCTCATGCTGCAGATTTCACCATGTATGTATCACAGCCATTCCCAGCTACAATCAGAGCTCCTGTAAACTGAGCAGCTCCTGTAAACAATCAGATGTCATTGTACCACAAACATTCAAAGTAGACTGGGTCATGGTTCCCACTTTATAGATAAGCAAACAGTAAGTCAGTTACTCAAGTGCACATAGCAAGTAACTAACAAAGCCTGCATTTGACTACAAAGTATGTGGCTATTAATGTTTCTTATGAATCCTGAGGTCAACAAACTTGCTACTCACCAGGCTAAAAGGCATTCATTCCACAAGTACAATTGAAGACTGACAATGGGGTGGCCCTGAGCTCCCATAGTACCCCCACCCTAAACCTCAAAGGTAAACTCTGTCATTACTCCATTTTATGGGATAGGGAACTAAATGAAACTCAGAAAGATTAAGGAGCTACTTGAGATCGCCCAGAAAGCAAGTGGCAGAGCTGGGCTTCAAATCCCGCTCTTTCTGACCTCAGAGCCTCTGGTCAAATTCTGTACAGAAGCTGAATCTTAAAAACAGAGCACCAGGGAAAATTTTTATGAGGAGATGCAGCATGTTTGCATTAGGAATGCCCTCTTCGTTCCTACTCACCCAAATACACCCTGCCCTGCCTTTCAGGACCTTGGTTTGTCTGTCCCTTTGCTGCCACCACCCCTTACCCCCCAGCACTAGGAAGATTTGATGGCTTCTTGTTCTCACTGACTGAACAATCATTGGTTCACAAACTGGCATCCTACATGGAGGGCAGGAAGAGACTGAAGAAAGAGGCAGACCACTCCAGATTGGTAGGTGGCAGGTTTAATAAGCAAAGAAACTGACTGATGAGGTTTGTCTTGGGCAACCACGAGAGGAGTAAAATCCACATCCACCCACCAGAATCTTAAAAGTTTATATAGAAGCCTTAACTGGATTTAGTCATAGACGGTCTAGGTGTTCTCAACATCTTATTCTCTCAAGTTTCAGTGTTAGCCATGACAGTTATTTTATTGATTTTTTGAAATGCAAGTATCTGACTTAAGCTTTGATTGACCAGGTATGAGGTATCCATTTCAAAGAGGGCTATCTCAACTAAACACATTGCTAGTCACATAGATAAAGAGCTAGATAAAGACTAGATAAAGAGACAGGTCACTTACCCCTACTGAGGTTTCCTTGCTTTAGAAATCTTAGTTGATTTCAATTACTGGCCATTGGGGCTACTTGTTTTTCTTTCTCTTCCCAGGCTTTAAATCCCCACTTTAATTTTTTAAATTCACCAATAAAGCGTAAGCCCATGAAACTCTAGGCTCCTACCTTCAACCCCAATAAATGCAGAACCCCAGCGCCATTATCTCTCTCTATTTCTCCCTCTCTCCCTGTGACTTTATTGAGTGGCCCCACGTGTGCTGTGTAATTTCCAGGTCCTGTAAGTAATAAACCTTTATTTCTTCCTCTTCTTCTTCTTCTTCTTCTTCTTCTTCTTCTTCTTCTTCTTCTTCTTCTTCTCCTTCTCCTTCTCCTTCTCCTTCTCCTTCTCCTTCTCCTCCTTCTTCTCCTTCTTCTCCTTCTTCTCCTTCTTCTCCTTCTTCTCCTTCTTCTCCTTCTTCTCCTTCTTCTTCTTCTTCTTCTTCTGTTTTTAAAGATTTCATTTTTTTTTTTTTTATTTCTAGAGAGGAGGGAAGGGAAGGAGAAAGAGAGGGAGAGAAATATTGATGTGCAAGAGAAACATCAGTTGGTTGTCTCCTCTCACGCCCCTAATCTGGAGACCTGGTTTACAACCCAGGCATGTGCCCTGATCAGGAATCAACTCGCAATCTTTTGGGGTTTGCAGGAGGATGCCCAACCCACTGAGCCACACCAGTCAGGGCCCTTTATTTTTTTCAAAGTTTCTTGATGGTTATTGCAGAAGGGCATCTTGCAATCATAATAAAAACCACAATGGCCTGTCCAGCCACAATATTGGTTATTGATAGGCTGAGATCAGTTCAAAACATCCAAGGTTATATCCCAACTGTGTGCTGATAGGTAGAGCATACATTTTAAGAACAGGGGATGAAATGAGGAGCTTTTAATTGCCCGGGTCCAGCTCAAGGTTCAATCGGCAGTCACATACTCTTGATTACCTCCTCCAATAACAATCTAATCCAAGTCTATATATTGGTGTCCACAGCTAGGTGATGGGAATAAGGGAGACAACTTCCCTGCCTTCAGTTGGTCACTATGCGGTAGGAAAAGCAGTGAACAGGAAGAAACTGGGGAAGGAGGGCTGCAGAATAAAGAGGCCTGGGGTCCTCGAGGGCCAAAGGCACAGGCTAAAAGTATGTGGTAGAATGAGAGGTAAGAGGAGAGTTGGCTAGCAGGGCATGAGACAGGCATGGGGGTCCACAGAAGAAGGTGGCCCACTTCTTATTCTGTAGCTGGTGATCCTTTTCTGCCCACCTCCTAGAAGGTAGGGGAGAAACCAGGCCTGGGGATTAGTGTTTTCTGAATTCCAGCTGTCAGTCTCCCTGGGTTAAATGGATGTTAGGGCCTAGTCAGAGGGTAGATAATCCTGAGGGTTATCTGTCAGCCCCCGCCCTCCCTGTCAATGAACACCCAGTCCCAGGAAAAGCAATGGAACCACTGAACAAATGGAGCTTTATGGTCAGTCCCCAATGTCATGTCAACTCAGCTGTCCCCAGGTACCGCCGCACAGAAACCCTGGAACCCCCTCTGCTGGCATAGGAAGCCAGAAACACCCTCTCTCCTCCAGCACACCTCAGGGCTCCTCTTTTAGGATCTAGGCAAGCAGAAGAAGCTAAAAGTCATCTTCTCCTCAAGAGAAGGGTCTGAGAATCTGTCTGCTCATCCCTCTCCCCCACAACCACCTCAGTCTCTGAGTTGGCCCTGGGGCCCCCAGGAATTCTGCTCTACACTGGGTGTGGCAGGGCTAGCCATCTCTTAAGAGCAAATGGGAAAGAGCTGTGGAAGTCTTACAGAGTCTAACCAGTTCCATCTGGTCTGAAGGTATTGTTGCCCTGGGCGAGACTGCTAGGTTTAAAGAGCTGGAACCCACTGAGCTGAATACAGCCCCAGCAGCCTCCTCAGACCAGCTCTGTGGACCGTGCTCTCAGGTGAGTTTAGAACTAGCTCTCAAGTGAGCAGGTGACTGCAAGGACTTCAGGCTGCTAGATGGAGGGGTAGGGGTGGAGAGGTGGCCCAGAGTACCAGCCTGAGGGAAGGGGTGCTCATGCTTGGGTATTCTTGGTAACAGGGTGAGCATTTGGGAGTTTAAGGACTGGAGGGTGTCTATTCTGTACCCACTGCCATATGGTTGGTGGGTGGGGGCAGAAGGAAACAGGAGCCAGCCTTTGGGTAAAAAATATGTAAAATGGAGTTGCTACATTCAGGATCCAGGAATTCCATGATCATGAAAGTAGTAGAGAGGCAGACTAGTCTAAAGGAGGGCTAGCTTCAGAGACTGACTGCTCAAAGACAAATCCCTACCTTCAGAAGCAGCACAGTAACAGACCCTCCCTTTGATGGCAATAAGACCTAGGTATTTGTATATTTATTATTGAAACACATTTTAGTACTTACTGTGTGCTAGGTACTGTTCTTAGGCTGGACATAATTTATTGAATTCAGTCATAAACTTATGAGGTTGCTATTATAATTATCTTCATTTTATGGGACACAGAAGCACAGAGAGAATTGGCTGAGAATGCATTAGAATTCCCTTCAGCTGGTCCCAGCAAATAATAATGGCTTCAATATGGAACACAGACAACCCCTACGCCTTCCTGCAGCTAACAATAAGAGTGTGCAGAAAGCTGAGAGGCGTCTTATCTCCAGCTACAACCACCCCAGGAACTAGTTGTGCCCTAAGGAGAAAGAAGAAAGGAGTGATGTCCCAACAACAAAGCAGTTTCCTACCAATAACAGTCTGTACTCTGAGAGTGGAATTAGAGGCTGCCTGGAGCAGGGACACTGCTAAGGCTAGGGTGGGAGACTCTGTCTGCCTCTAGCAGCCCTCCCACTTCCCAGCTAAGTTGCTGGCTGCTCTACTTAGCTCAGGCCTGGGTGCACCCTTTGAGGAGTTTATCTTGGAATGCAGCCTGATAGTGCCCCAGGTGCAGAACTTTGGAAACAATAGCCCAGGGCCTGACAACCTTGCTCTTTCTGTGGGGTTAGGAAGGCAGGTATCAAAGCCTGAGTTAGTACACCTGAAGCTAACACAAAATAATATTGAATGTAAGCTGTAATTGAAAAAAATTTTCTAAATTTAAAAAAAAAATGTAAAAGCCTGATCGGCAGCCCTGTTCCCCTGACGTTGGGTCAAGCACCTGACTTTAGACTTTAACAAAGCCTTATACACACTTACTATACAAAGGAACTGTTCTAAGTACTTAACTAGTATTAATCAACCCATATAACTCTACAAAACACTACTATCGTCATCTCCAAATGAGGGAAGAGAAGTTAGTAACTTTCCCAAGGCTGCCTCATAAGCAACACCCTTGGGATTGGTGCTCTTGCTCTCCCACCAGGTAGGTGGGGGACACCTGACCCCAGCCTGACTCCCCACCCTCACAGCCGTGCTCTGCAGCTGTGACATGGAGGGAGTGACCTGGGGCCTTCTCTTTGCACTGGCAGGTAAGTCCTCCTAGAGGTGACCCTGCTGCCACTTACTTGCCCACTAAGGCAGTGAAGACCAGGGCAGCATCTCAAAGGGAGCCTGATGTCAAATAAATGTGTTTTCATTTATACTGTGGATTTAAAGAGAAATGATAGTACAGGTAAGAAGAGGCTATTGCAAAAGTCATACTAGGTAATTTAACTCAAGAAAACTAACCACCATTTGGCATGAAGAGAAAAGCATTCCCCATTTCTTTAGGATGCAGAGAGTTAGCTAGGTTCTCTGTAGGAAGCTCCTTGGGAGCAGGTAAAGACATAGGAACATATTGTCCCATTTGAGTGCAAGAAAGAATAGCAGGGTCATAAGTGGTGTTGCTCAGTGGGTTGTGTATCGTCCCACAAACCAAAAGGTTGTGGGTTGGATTCCTGGTGAGGGAACACGCCTGGGTTGCAGGCCAGTTCCCCCAGTTGGGGAAATGGGAGGGGCACTGATTGATGTTTCTCTCTCATTATCAATGTTTCTTTCCCTCTCTTTCCCACTTTCTCCCCCTCTCTACAAAAATAAATAACATCTTTAAAAATAGCAGGAAGGCTGTGAAATAGCAGCAAGGGCTGTGAGGGGCCAAAGGCTAAAAAGTGATGGAAGATAGAATCTCAGCAGCATTGTTTGGGACTGGGGAAGGTATGAGAAGGGAACTGGCCCCACAGTGTCTTCCAGTGAGGTTGGTTGTCCTTGCCCTTTGGGCAAAGGTCTGCCTGTTGATTCATGTTGAGACTAGAGTCATGAACTATCACCCAATCCCTCTGCTTCTTCCACCCAGGCATGCCTGCTTTTGAAGCTAATGACCTGGTCGGTGAGTGAGGCCCCAAACAAACTGCTCCTGTTGTCCACATTTTCCCTCTAAGACCCTACATTCTGCCTCCTAGTTCTGGTCCTTATTTATTTATTTATTTTTATTTCCTGCAGATAAAGACAGTCCCTTCTACTACGGTAAGAGTTTATATCCCTCACCCCCCACACCTTCCCTTGCCTATCCTGGACCTCTTTGCTAAAAGCTGGTGAGGATTGATGTGGAGCCCAGTGTAGGCATAGTGAGACTGGAGAGGGTGAGGAAGGAGAGGCAAGATGGGACTGAGACTGGAAATTAAAAAGACAGTATGGTTAACACAAAGTACAAAATGCCAACATGCAACCTAGTCTTTGAAAGAAGCTCCTTCCAGCAATAAAGGAAGGTACCCATCATATTTAGAAAGACTTCTGGGGCAGGGGCTGGAGGCAATGTGCTGCTGGGTTTCCAGGTATCTCACACCAATTTTCTTCCTTCCCCTCACTCTTGTTTACCTTCCCCAGCACCTGGTTCCTTGCTGCCACCTATAGTCCCCCAAGCAGGCCTGCACTGTTCTTGAGCTTGCCCTCCACTCAGATCAAATGCTACCTTTCAGAAAAGCCCTGCTTCATCATCCTTTAAAACCCCTTCTTTTTCTGTGCTCTCCTGCTTATTTTCTTCTTCATAGCACTTGGCTCCCACCAGATATTATACTATCTATTCACTAGTGTTTTCTTCTTTGCCTGGAATGTGAGTACAACTGCACAAGTAGGTGCTCATAAATATCTTTTGAGTGAGTGTTGGTGTAAGCCACACTGGTACTAGTTCACTCTCTCCTCTCCTAGACTGGGAAGGCCTGCAGTTGGGCGGGATGATCTGCGCAGGGCTCTTGTGCATCGCTGGACTCTTGTTCATCCTAAGTGAGCTGTGGAGCTGGCGAGATGGGGAGTGAGGGAGGACATGTGAGAAGAGGGGTGGCCTAGGTCCCCAGGCTTTCTGCATTGATGTCTCTTCCTCTCGACAGGTGGCAAATGTAAATGCAAGCACAAGCAGAAGCAGAGGTGAGATAGGTCCCCTATGTGTGCATTTCAAACTAGCCTACTATTTTGGGGTAAAGGCCTACAACTTGGAGAAAGAGGACAGTTTCTTGGCTGCTCCCTGGGCTTGCACTGGGATTATTCACAGATAATCAACCCTGAAGGAGCCCCAAATTAGGGAAAGCTCTGGCCCCTGGTATTACTTAAAATGACAGTGGAAGAACAGCAAAAGGGCAGCTGGGGACCCTCTGGAGAGGGGGCACCAAGAGTCTTGGTGGAGAAGGACCAAAGATGCTAATCTGATGTGTTCCTTTCTTAGACCCTTACCTGAGTAAGCTGTTCCACTCATCACTTCAGGTGAGACAGGCTTCTTTGAGAGGTATACAGGTACTCAGGTTGGCCATAACATTTAAAAGTTAAAAAAAGATATGCTGTGCATAAGGCAGGACTGTCCTGAACCAGCCCAGCCTTGAGTTTGCACAAGGCTGAGCAGATGTCTGTATAGTGACCATGTTTGTGAAGATATGACTCCTTTTCTCTCCACAGGCTCTGCCAGTACCTGCTGAGCAAAGGACCAGCTTTGTGGCATTCCCAGAGCCAGCTTCCATTCTGTTCTTTCCCTGCTTGGGGGCCTTTCTCTCCAAGGGTTGGCTCTTAGGCTCCCTTCTGTTCAGAAGGCTATCCAAAGCTTATTTCTAAATTAAACTGATCTCATTCCTCCCCTGGTCTTCTGACCTTTTGTGGGGCTGGGCAGGCTGACAGGAACTCTGGCATCTTGCTCAGGAAAACCCAGGTCCTCAGGAGCTAAGGTGCTGGGAGTGGGGCATAGATTGCTAATGCTTCCTGTGATTGACCACGTCTGACCTAAAACCCACTCCCAGTATGCCCCCTACTTTGAGAACCTCCTGATAATTGATCTCCCACCCCCTTGCCTCACCCATGTACCATTTGAGACACTTCAGTATTATATCAAAGGACCTTACAATTTCCATACCTTGCCTAGAGACCCTAGAAGTCCCAGTGAACCAGGTACCTATGACATGCTGTAACCTAGAATGATCCTCAGTGGCCCTCCATCCACTAAGACCCCACCACACTCAGTAAATGCTCTCTATTGCTCATACAGCCCAGGAAATGCAGCAATTCCTTCTTTGAACCACCCTAGTAAAACCCTATATAATGCTCAGACCAACCCATGGACCTTCCCCTCACCTTAGATAGTATCCTGAGACCCCACTATGAACTGCATCACAAGGGAGCTTCATTTAGAACCAAAAAGATCCATGCAAATCCAGGTCCTTCATCATTGTTACTAACTCAAGGGAGGATCAACACTTGGGGTGCTCTATTCAAAAATGACATGTGAGCCCTGGCTGGGTGGTTCAGTTGGCTAGAGCATCATCCCATCACTAAAAGGTTACAGGTTCCATCCCTGGGTCAGTGAACATCTAAGGATCCTCAATCAGGACACATATGGGAGGTAACCAATTGATGTTTTTCTTTCTCTCTCTCTCTCTAACAATAAATATATCCTCAGGTGAGGATTTAAAAAAAAAAAAATGAATGATCATTGGGTAATTTTATTTACTTGCAGCAAGTAAAAGTGACCAGGGATTCACATCCAAAGCTCTATCTCTAAAGGGAGGCTTAGCCATTGCTTATATATACTATTTGATTATATACACACTGGTTTCTTCTTTGCAGTTGGCTACACTTAACCAGTTGAGTTCCTGTCAAGCTCATCCTATTTACAGCTGCCTCGGCAAAGTATTTTAGCATTTAGCAAGAATAGCATTTAGTAAGAACCACCTAGACCTTTAGAAACTCATCCTGTCTAACAGTATGTCCAAAGCCCACTCCCGGAACACTTTACCTGGAAGGTCCGTGCTTGCATAGGGTAGAGGTGGAGAAGGGTGCCTCTCCCACCTCAGCAGCCTGTCCATCCTGCAGTCTCATCCCTCTTGCCAACTTCCACAGCCAAGGAAGTAAGGTGTACTCAGCCTAACCCCTGCCGCCAGCTGAGACCCTGGGGCAGGGGCAGGTTGGGGCAGCACATGTGTGCCCTGTCCCTGCAAGCAGTAGCTTATGGTCCTGGTCTGGGTTGATAGGGCAGCTCCTTTTGGTGTTGCTTCAAGCCAGCTCTCTAATGGTGTGCTGCTCCAAACCCTACTCCATTTCTCAGAGTGGTGCCAGATCCCCTGACTTGTGGGCTGGAGTCAAGGAGCCACTGCAAGGGAGTCTGGAGGCTGAGAACCCTGCCTCCTGCTCTGCAGTGCATTCCCCAGACCCTGAGGTGTAAAAAAATTAGGTTCTAAGAGCCCTTGAAGAACACATAAGGGGAGGTTTCTAAGGTTAGTCCAGACCTGAAGCAGGAACTCCAAGAACCTGAACAGGACACAGGATACCTGGCTGAAAGTACAGTCACTCCCCAAGGTGAGTGATGCAGTATGAGAGGGAGCCTTGGGGGTCGTGGCTGCGCCAGGCCCATTTATCTGGCAGACAGATTCTCTAAGGTCCCTGCTTTCTGAGTCCGATAGGATGCACATCCAGAAAAGAGGAGGAGTGGCTGGTTGCATGAGCAGCAGAGAGTGATGTGGTCAGGCTAAGAGGTGAGAGCTGAGATGGCTCTTCAACTAAAGGATGAAAGGAGCCAACCATGTAAATATCTTTTCTTGGAGAGGGAACAACGCTTGTAAACAACCTGAGAGGACACTGGCCTTCATGCTTTGAAAGAACTAGGGGAAAGTCAGTGTGACTGGAACGCAGGCGAAATAGGATCCCATGTAGACATTGCAGGAAGAACCACTGCCCTCTGTTGGGCAGGGATTCAGTGGAGGAATTAGGAGCTGGAGGCAGCGGCGGTGTGGCGCGGGGGGTGGGGCGGGGGTGTGTGTGGCGCGGGGGGGGGGGGGCGGGGGGGGGCGGTGCGTAGCGGAGAAGCGGGAGGGGAAAGCTGGTGAAGGAGGAGCTCAGCCCCAAGATGCGGATTCCCAGAGGAGGGCGCTGGCGAGCCAGCCACCACAGAGCTGTCCCCAGGAAGGAGGTGCTGTCCCTTTTCTCCTTGGACACGAGCATGCTCTTGTGAGTGGATCACATGTGAGAAAATAAAAATGAACTCCGCCTAAGGAAGAAAAGTCTGTAGCCGTTGGTGGGGCTGGAGTGGCAGCAAGGAAGCAATCTTGGCAGAACGCCCTTTCTGAGCACCCGATTTCTTCGGGAGAAACTTGGGTTCCCACTGCCACATGTTGTGACAAGCTCTGCTGTTTGAAATCCTCTCAGTAACAAGGAAACCCCATCCTGTCCTGGGAACCTAAGTCACTTTGACTGAGAGGCAGCATTCCTGCCAGAGCTCTCAGGGTGGGGAGAGAGCGCATTCCATATTCATCTTCGCGGTTCATTTCTGGATGAGAGGACACAACAGAATAGACTGTCCTGTTCGGCTTGCAGCCTGCCAGGCACGGCTTCATTCAAATTTTGCCTGAACAAAGCCCGCAGTCCCCTCAAGTCCTGTAAGCAATCCTTCCGGGTGAGGGCCCCACTACCCCCACTCCCAAATTGTGTGTTGGGGGTAGGGGCTCATTGCTCAGCGTCAACTAAGCCTTTGTCCAATAACAACAGGCCAGCGCCTGGTGGTTTAGTCTGATCCCACCTGTCCAAGGCCTGGGCAAGAGGCCCATGAAGGGCGTCTGGGAGCCTGGGTTAATTCTGGGTTGAAGAAGTCAGAAACTGATGACTGAGAGAGGAACAATATGGGATGAACTGGTGTTAGCCCTTGAGGTTGGCTGCTGAGCCCTGGAGTTGGGCTCCTGATTCCCAAAAAAACAAGCTCTCCTCTTTCCCTCCCTGGAGGAGGGTGTAGGAAAGGTTGCCATAGGATATAAGGAGTCTCTCCTCAGACTTCCTGTGTGCAATTATTGTGCTGCAAAGACCCTTTCCCTGGGCCTATTTCTCGGGGGGTGGGCGGCGCGGGCGGGGTGGGGGGCGGTGTGCAGGGATGGTTTTCGTCATAATTCCCTCCCCTTGTCATCTTCTCCCCGATGCGGGGCAGGTCAAGACAGAACCCCAGAAAGCAAAGGGTAATTTCCACTTACTGAATACTTAGCATGTGCTGGGCACTGTTATAAATCTTTCACACATTAACTCAAATCTCCCAGCAACATGAGATGGAGTCTTGCATTATCCCCTCTGTGAATAAGAGACCCATGCTCTCACAAGGTGTCTTGTTTTTGAGCCATGTATCTGAAGGAGTAGGCTACACTGCCTTTCTGGTATCTGCTTAGGGACTATATATCTCTCCCCTCTTCCTCTTTATTTAAACAATCTTATTTTTTTCTGATTGCAAACATCTTTCATACTTATTATAGAAATTTTGAACATTACAGACATCTCACTTTAGAAGGTAAACCAATTTCTAATGCAGCACCCAGAAATAATCAAGGTTCAAAGTTTGATATAATATTCTATAATTCTATCTCACACACACACACACACACACACACACACACACACACACTCTTATATAATTTATATAATTCTGTGAAGACCAGCCAGGTTCTTACATGAATCAATAGTTCATTACTTTGTATTGCTGAGTCCTGGAGAGTGTTTTTAAAATAAGGGTCTACTAACTTAAGAAAATGTCATATGGTTTATTCTATGACAGGTCTCAACCTCACCATCAGAGGAATATTCTTAAGGCAAGGTCAAGTCAACTCTGTTTAAAATACACCAAAAATCCCCTACTTATCTTATAGGAAAATCCCCATAACATGACCTATTGATACTACAGCCTGACTCTAGGCCCCTGTAAGACCATCAATGCTCCAACTTCACTATCACGGCCCTCCCTTCTATAATCACTCTGCCTGGGTGCTATCTAAACACACCACAGACTGCAGCCTTAGCCTTAGGGCACTGCACTTCCCTCCTTCTTTAAGAACTTGTCCCAATTCCCCCAGCATCCCTGCATCACCAATCCCTTCCTTGTAGGTCCTTTAAGGAGGCCTCCAAGGTCACTCTACAACTGCACCACACTCATCCTTCTCATCTGTTTGCTGCTTTTACTTTTTGTATTGTACTTTGCCCCTAATTCATGTAATATTTATTCATTCACTGACTTGTTATGGTCTCCCACCCCTACCATAGTCTACTTCAAATTGGCACCTGCAGAATTTTCTTGGTTTTGGCTCACAGGTTTGGCTGTTTGTTCTCAGATTGCCATTGGCCATTTTGAGCTTTTCATTTTCTCAGGTTGATTTTTTAAAAATCTGGTTGCATTCTTTCCACTAATCTGACAGATTATAATAGCCCATAGATCTTAGAGTTAATTCTACAGCTACAATTTACCAGAATATATAATATCTGGTACTCTATCAAAAAATACCGAGGCGTGAAAGGCAAATTACTACCAGACAACATAAACACTGAGAAAAAAGATGCAAATAATGGAATGATTAGGCCAAGATTTTTAGCTGTGATAATGTATTCAGAGAATGAGCTGATACTTGAAGATTTTCCAAAGAAAATTGAAGCTATGTCTTGTGGGTTGAATTGTGTCTTCCAGAAATGTATGTTCAAGTTCTAATTCCCAGTACCTGACTCTGCAGCCTTATCTGGAAATAGGGCCTTTGCAGATATAATCATTTTATATAAGGTAATATTGGATTAGGGTGGGTCCTAATCCAATGACTGGTGTCCTTATAAGAAGTGGAAAATTTGGACACAGAGAGAAGTCCATGTGTCAATGGTAAAGATGGGAATGATGCAACTGCAAGTCAAGAACACCAAGAATTGCTGGTAACCACCAAAGCCGGGAAAAGGTAAGGAAGAGTTCTTTTTCAGACTTCAGAGGGAGAATAGCCTTACCAACACCTTAATTATAACTTCTCGCCACCGGAACTATAAGAAAATTAATTTTTTTACATAATTTAAAAAAAGATTTGTTGGCCATGTACCAAGAAAACACTATTTACAAAAGCAGGCAGTGGGCCAGATGTGGCCCGTGGACACTATCTAGTTTGTTGATCACTGCCCAAGACTATGAGATCCTAAAAACTCCCCTGATGGGGCAGTGCCCCAAATTCTTCCTCCCTCTAGCACACATGTCTTTCTAGGGCATCTAGAATACTTGCTGTCTCCTCCTCACCAAGTCCCATGTCAATATAGTTGATTGTGGTGAGGTGATCAATGTCTCTTTAGATACTACTGTAACTAGAGCAGGAGTTACCACAGACAAGAAGGCAGGCAATGTTCTCATGGCCATGTTATGAGACAGTAAAATGTTTTAACCTCCTCCTTGATGCTGATTGAAGAGAATAGGTCGATTTCTCAAGTGCCAGAGGCTTGTTGAGCTGTGCTGGCAGACACTACACTAAGTACTGAGCTGTGATTTTGGCAACTACTTGGGTTTTTGGTGGTCTGCTATCATCTGTCAGAATCCATGTGTGCTTTGCTAGGACCAGACAGGAAAATTCAAAGAAACTATGCTTGCTTTTTACGTCTTTGGTCGTGGCCCTTAACCTCAGATGTTGCACAGGCTTTACAGCCTCTCCTTATTTAGTCTTGGATGGGGAACGTCATTTCAGAGGCTCTTTTTGGCCTTTCCTACCATATAGCTTTCCAAAAGCCAGGGGCAGTGTGGGGCTGTCAGCTGTCTAGAGCACCCCTGCCCACTTATTTAGTTGGGGAGATAAACCTTAGGGGCCTGTAAACCTCTTCTACCTACAGTGAGATGAACATGGCCCAGGAATATATTTGTCATCTGGACTCCCTATGCTCCCATTCTAACAGAGGGACCGGGACGGCATTTTGGATCCCCTTGTATCATTATCAACTAAGACCCCATATCTAATAGCACCCAAGAGACCTGGGTCACTTTCTCCTACATTCAATTGTTACAATGCTGCCAGGCTCTTCATTTCGATTGGTCTCTGGATCTGAGTTCTGACCCTGATCTGGAAATAGGAACAAGACCCCGATTTTCCATCAATTTTCTGGTCATAGAGCCAGAGATGAGAGAGGAAGTTTGAGAGACCTCATAGCTGCGCCTGAAAGTGGCCCCTGGACCCAGAGGTTTATTAGCCTTTGCCACAGATTTGGCAGGGTCAAAATCCCCCGTCTTTTGGGCTTCACTGCCTCACATCTGATGATTGCCCCCTACCTGGTCTCTGCTCTCCTGTAATCCGTTTATCCTTTTCTCCTACTGCCAATCCTGGCAGAGAAAAGCTTCCAGTAAGCTTCTCAAAAAGCTGGTGCACCTTCTTAGCACATTCCTTGTCAATTTAGTAAGTGTCCTTGGGTCTTGTCAGGAAACTTTTTTTTCCTGGCCTTTTATACCAAATCTTTCCTAGCATGCCCACTTAGGTCCTCTGACCTCTTTTCAAAACCCAGCATCTTCCCGACACATTGTCTTCAAGCTTCAAGGGTCAACTCCAGCAGATCATTTTAGTCTATTTAAATTCTGAATCCTACGAGGGGACCCATATTAACCATTTTATACTCAACCCTCTGGTCCAGCATCAAGCTACTCCAAGGCGATATGGGTCCTGCCCATAGGTACCAAGTTTTTCTGGTAAAATATCCCTTTCCTTGTGCACTGTGGTTCTATATCCTATACCGTGGTCAGTCCTATTTTTTTTTTAACATAAGCCAGCAAACTTTTAAGAGACTAAAACATTTCAGGTTTTGCAGACAGGCCAAGGCAAATTTTAAAGTTTTTTTATTTGTTGACAGAACTTGAAATAATTACATTTTGTACTACAGGTCAACTTTTTTTTTTTTTTGGTTGGGGGAGATTCTACTTTCCTAACAGGGTTCCCTGCCAACAAATTGACTCAGCTCTTGGGCCACAGAAGAGATGGCAAGCTGATTTGAGCTCCCAGATTTTGAGCAGACAACAGCTTACAAATTACCTCCTTCAGGTGAGGCCTCCAGATCAGTCTTTCTCCAAGTAAGGATCACTGTTGTTGGCCCAGGTCTTAAGATCACCTTGGGATCAAAGGTCATTTAGCACATTCCCTCTCTCAGGTTATTGGCATCCAGACCTGGGCTCTAAACTTAGCAAAGGAGTTTTATCGAGTGTGTGTTCTTGTCTTGCAGAGTCCTAACCTGTTATTAAATGTTTGGCAAGCTCCTAGGTGCTCCTCTGGGTCTTCTTCAAAACCCAGACCTTTGCCTCCCTGTGGTGGATTGCTGCCTGAAACTTGGAGCCATACTGTGTCCATGCAACAGGCAAGCTGTGTACATGGCCTAGAAAAGGTCATGGTCATGGTCTTTGCCTCCATAGAATTCTCACATTACCCAGTCTTCTCTGAATCTTCGTAATTCCACCTGTTCTGGTACTTAAGGTATTCCTGGGTGAGGCTGCTACCCTGAGCCTGCATACTACTACTGACAAGGATAGCAGGTGAGGTGGGCCTGTAAAACCCGACTGGGTCAGGAAAGGTTGAAGCAAAGACTCCAATCTACCTATACTTATTTTTAACAAACTTTTGGGGGCTTAACCAAAGCACATTTTTTCTGTAAATGAGGACAGTCCTTTGAAATGAAGATTCCAGATGATCCTTAAATTGGTGAAACTATGACATGTGCACTAAAGCAAATGAGAAAATAAACAGGAAAACTACCAATAGTAGCTATCAAGCAAAGTTTGAGCTTTCTTTTAAAAATAAACTCCATTCACATTTTAGAATCTTGGTTTTATTTAGTGCATTTCATAAAAAGTGATGCTAATATGCCATGTTCAGAGCTGCCTGGGATTTGGATGCTGATTTACACTGCTGGGCAAATGACAATTTAACAATTCTAAAGATAGGTCTAAAAGCTTAATATGTATATCCTACAATAACCTGTAACTGCTAACGGAGGAGTGTACCCTCTAAGTAATAGCCAGTAGAAATATAAAAAAGCAATGTTTAACCAGCATGTTTTACATTAAAAAAAAACAAAAACAAAAAAACCCCCTGAAATATGATGACTTGTAACACACGTGGCATTCAAAACAATCTCTATGAAAAATGGATGTGACTCCAACATGAAGTGAGGGACCAGAAGGGCTTAAGAGAACACAAAAGTCACAAGAGACTGGGGCTGTGTGCTTCTATTTTTCTACTTTTTGGGGATTTTTTTTCCTAGTCATCATTTCTACCACCCATACATACTTAATACTTTTAAAAGCTGATTTTTATTTTAGCCTCCTTGTAAAAATATAAAATCAGATTTAATGTGCTAAATTATTTTAAAATTCAAAGAAATACAGCATTCAAATGAATTCTCTTCAATTACCCAGTTGTTTTGATACTTCATGGTGAGTAGTCAGTCTATGCCAATCATTGTGAAAAAGTCTTTATTTTAAGAAAAAAGTTAACAAAAACTTAACAAATTTCACTTAGCAAAATACACCCAAAAGGAAATCACAGTAAAGAAAGATTTAAGTCAAGGCCTCCCCAATTCCTACAGTATTAGTAATGTGTCTCAATTTTCAAAACTAACTTTTAAAAAGCTTAAACTTAACCTAAAAGATTTTAAATGAAAATAAACTAGAATGAACAAACGTGAGAAATACTCCTCTTTGAATTAGGGATCTAGCACCTTGAGTTTCCCAAAAATCACATCTCCTCAATGTGTTCATTGTGATGTGGTGTGAAGATCCACATTTGATGTACTTAAAACTACTTGAACTCAGATAACATCAACCTGAAGTACACTATCAAAATATTGAAAAAAGCTGAAATAGTTTTAGTTTACTCAGTATCACAGACCAGAAGTAAATTTGCATGAGAAAACACTGAAGAGGTAACTTTTTAATCCAGAATTTCACAAACTCATGGTGCAAAATGGATCCCACAGCTTTTTCTAGAGTAATAACTGCTTTTCACTGCTTGGCTGCCTATGAAAATTTAAAACTCAAATGCTCTACAAAATTAGTCATACCCAGCCATGCTATTCTGGCCACTGTAGCTAGCCCCGTAACAGCCACTCACAGACTGGCTCTCGAGGCCACTGTAAGTAGACTGGGTGGACACCCCCATTCCTTGCATCATCTGGCTGCTGTATGCCCCATTGCTAGCTCCTGTTGTGGAATTCAAGAAAAGTTCTATGTATCTATGTTGCATGTTGGCCCTGTCTTTGGACATAGCTGCCACAGCTTCTTCATGAGTGGCAAACTCAACATCAGCTTCGCCCGTCACTCTTCCATCAGGGCCAATCTCAATATGGACTCTTACAGGGTTGAGAGGAGAGAAGAAGTTGTAAATGTCATTTTCTGTGGCTTTGTATGGCAGCCCCCTCATGTGGACACAGTGTCCAGTAGTACTCTGGACAGTGAACTCTCCATCCCCGTATCTGTGGTCATACATCCCAGAGAGACAGTAACTAAGGTCTCTTCCAAATAAGTCAGCGGTAAAGCCGTAGCCATCGCTAAGACCACTGTATTCCTCATAGCCCCCATATCCTGCACTATAAGCACCAGACCTCATCCTCTCCAAGCCTGCCTGCTTGACAATGCCAATATACCTCCTGGCTGTGCCTGGGCGGTCATAGGGCCCTGGCCGCTGTACGGACATAAACTTCAGAGGGGGATCTGAGTATGACCTAACTTCTTCCTGACTGCTCTTGAACACTTCAATATACCTATGCCCTATTCTCTCCTTGTGCTTCCCTAGAGCCTTCTCAGCTAACTCCTGCGAAGCAAACTGCACAAAGGCTTCCCCTGTAATCTTGCCCTCAGGGTCCACAGGCAATGTGATCCCATTTGGAACAATTTCCAACCCTGAGAAGAACTGAACAATTTCCTCCTTGGTGCATCCAAATGGGAGTCCTCGAAGCCGCACGAAGCCATCATTGGCGGTGTCAGCACTGTTTGGACCACTGTGCTTCAACACCCAATCCATCTCGGTTCTGTGGGACTTGAACACCTCAATGTATCGGTGTCCCATGCTTTCCCTGTCTTTTTTAAGGGCCATTTTCACATCATCTTCTGATTCAAGTTCAACAAAAGCCTCACCACTCTGCCTGCCTTCTCTAGTGTAGATGAAATGAATGCCTGAGACCCCATCATGAATTAGGCAGCCGGAGAGGAAATTCTGCACATCCTCAACAGAGCAGGACCAGGGCAGGCCACGGAGCTTGACCACAAAGCCTTCACCTCCCTCAGGGCCCAGCATCATGGATACTTGACAGGGCAGACTTCAAACAAGCTCAGCTGCTGCTTTTTGTGGCTGAAAAGAAAGCAAAAACTACGTAATTTTCCCTTTCGTATGTATAACAAGAACATGCAGTATATACGGTTTTCTCCCTTTCACAGATGAGGAAGGGTAAGAGAGATTGAAATACAACAAATACATTTGCTCTGACAGTCATTCCCAGGTCTCCCAAAAAATGTACCCAGACTGAGAAAGTAAGTTTAGTAGAATGTAGAGTAAAATTTGAAGAGCAATACAGTGATCTAGAAGCTTCAACAGTGTCAAAAATCTACCAAATCTAATGGTCAGTTATTTTAAGTTCTAGAAGGGAAGACAAGAGAAATCAATTGAGGCAACATTCAGAAACAGCAAGAGAACTCAGAACTAGAGGAAAACAGATGAAACGTATTATTGCACTGCTAAAGTTAAAGGCAGGAGAATAATTAAGTTGATACACTGAACAGAGACGAATCCAAGTATTAGGTTGAGCAAAGGCATTTTCTTGTTATATATTTATTCCAGGTATTTTTCATGATGATATTTGGTACTTCGTTTATAAGAGCTCTTGTGAGATTTTTCAACACTACATAAGTAAAAACAAGTGATGTGTCAAATCAAACTAAGTGAGACCAAACTGGAGTCATATCCAGACAAGTCCATCAACAGAATAGTATGTGCAATTATGTGCACTACAAGTACAGAAATCAAGCTTCTCAGGTTCACATGTAAATAAAAGTATATTCATTTACTGCTACATTTTATTGGGGGACTGGAAGAAAGGGGGGGAGGTACCCTTCTCACAGGGTGTCATAAAATGCACGTGGCATCTGGCACCCAGAGTTTAAGCTGAAACAGAGGAAAGGTCGAATCCAGCTGGAAAGAAAGTCTTCTGAAGAGTAGGAATGGAACCATGAGATAGCAATATATGCATAAAAAAGACAAATAAATTATTTGATATTAGAGAGATGGAGGGAGGGAGTAGGGAAAGAGAGGCATTAGTTTGTTGTTCCACTTATTATGCATCCATTGGTTGATTTTTATATGTGCCCTGACTGGGCATCGAACCCACAACCTTGGTATATCAGGGTGAAGCTCTAACCGAGCTGACTGGCCAGAGCCTAAATATATCGTTAAGAACCAAAAATATATTTTTAGTAATCAATGCTCAAAATGTGTACATGTAAGAATATGGAAATTAAATGTTTAATTAAAAGTGTCATTTCACATTAAATGTGCTAGACATTAAAATCAGTCCTAAGAGATGCCTTTCAAAGAAATGTGGGCCTATTAGTAGAAAAGGATAAAACAGGAAGCATGTTAGGTAATTTAAGATAGGGGGAAAAAAAAGAGCAAATTGGTAATAAATACATGAAATACTCAACTGCACTAGTATCAGGAAAAACAAATTATTGCCAAATTATGTTTTGACCCATCATTGTTTTCAGAATTTAAATATTCAGTGTAATAAATAAGGCCTTCGTTCAAAGCCTCAAATCCAACAAATTATTTCTCTCAGGTGATCCCACTGTCCACCCTAACTATGCCCATTAAGCCCAAGTCAGTAACTCCTGTAATAAAGGCTTCTTACAGTTCTACAGGGGTGGGAAAAGTAGGCTTATGGTTGTGAGTACACGAAAGATTTTATTCTTGTGTGAGCTCAATAATTCCTTCACAGCATGAATAACCAAATTAGCATTTTCTTTTTGCATTGCCCTCATACTTCTAGTTCCCATACCAACAGCCCATCCCAGGATACTTGGAACTGGTTTTTAAAGCTCTTTAAGCATTAACAGCTGGCCCTTACTGCAACCCAATCTGCAGCTAAAGTGTCCTATTAAGGTGACTTCATGTACTGTCCCATTCCAAGTCCTCATTGGCATACAAACCACAGGACAAAAGGTTCTAAGGCCTTGCAACTTTGGCCTACAACACATTATCTAGCTCCTATCACCCCCACCATTTTAAAACCTCCTGTTTGTTCCTGTGCCTAGAATGTGCCAGGTTCTCTGTGCCCTTGGATTTGACACATACGGTAATTCTCTCTTCAAATATATTCCACCCAACCATCTTATCTAGCTAAATCATACTAATCCTTAAGGCCCTGGCTCAACTATGCCCCTTGTTCTAAGAGATTTTCCCCTGCTACAAACTAAATCTTATGAGTTGATGCTCCCACACTTGCTGTGATTTGTTTAAAAGGTGTCTTCAAAACTGCATTGGGTGCCTGAGGGACAGACTTGTCTGTTCAGTCAATGTTGCCCAACCCCCAGGCAGAGCAGGCTGAAGATTAGCAAGGAATTAACCAATGACCAAGTGGGGGTTGGTCAATACCTCCCTCTAGAACATGGAAGCCTTATTTAGTCTGAGAAAGACATGCAGGAAGCATAAAAGAACAGACATTTCATAATAATTATGCAATTAAACACCACAAAAAAATAAAATATTCTCACATTTGCTTTCAGAATCCTCTACATTTTGATTATTTGCAGAGACTTAACAGTACTTAGGACATTTAAACTCTAAAGAACTCAGTTCTGCTAAACGTTAGATTTAAAGATAGTGACAAAAACATTCTTTACTTCACATTCCTACATTTGTATCTGCAAACTGAGAAGTTATTTTTCTTAAAATAGCTCACCTTAAAGATCAAGAGGGAGATCCAACAGTCGGAGACACTCCTGGTAGGTACGAATTGTCCTAAAAGAGAGATATGGCCATCTTGCCTCAGTGCCCAAGGACTCACCAGAGCAGCTACAGCAGCTCACAAGCTGGCCTAGGTTCAGAGCTGCCTTCTTCCAAGAAAGAAAGCAGGGCTGAGGGCTGTCCTAATTAAAGTACATAGCTGGCCCACCCACAGTCATTTAAGAGATCTACCTTTACACGGGGTAATGACAACAGCAGGGAAACTCCCACTTGCCCAGAGAAGACAACTCAAATTCCTGAGTTTCTATACATAAAACTAACAGCAAGAAAATTTAAATATTGAGGGTGAGGGAGGTGCAAGACGAGGGAACCGCCAGGGGAGCCAATCTTCACTAGAATGGACTCCAGAGAAAGTTTGCTAGAAATTGTCCAACAGGATTTGTAATTTATAAACATCCCTGGGTGGCAGAGTGGAGACACTCAAGAATTTCTTCCCCAGTTTCACTTGGTAACATCACTTGTAACCTGACATTCATCTTTTAATTAACTGAGAAAGACTAAAGGGAGGAAATGTTTAAATAAACTTTTCAACAGGAAAAACATTACTACCATTGCCCATTTCCACGTGGTAAGGCTGCCCTCAAAGGCCTACATTATGTTAAGTATAGGGAACATGTCTACATAGCTAGTTTTGGAAAAAACTGTTTAAGTCAAGTTAATTCCGTTGAGCTTGTGTGTTACAGATATTTGCCTTCTTTTACTAGCCTCCTGTGGTTATTACATGAAAAACTACTTGAGGAAAAAAACCCCTGTATAAATGTGAACTGCTGCAGTTTAAAACAATATATTTGGGACCGAGATTCTGCATTTTCTAACACGCTGCCTGGACTCCAGAGGCTCTCTCGAATGTGTTCCTCATTACTCTACTGGTTAGACGGGATTTAATTCGGATTCAAGCAATTTCAATCAAGATAAACCGGGTGCGCCCCTACGGGCAAATCCTGATTAGGTTTATCTGTTCTGTAAACAGGACGGCTTAACCCCCACCTCCCATCTTCTCGAAAGTTCAGGGACAGGAACTCGGATCTAAGCCTGGCTTTACCCTCCTCCATAGTCGTGAGCCAATGAGACCCAAAGAGCATTTTCACCCTAATTTGTAATGAATTTTAAACTACAGCTGGCAGCACAAACAGCCAGATTGTCCTGGACGTTGAAATTACTCTTAAAGTTCTACTTCTAAATTTCAGCTCGCAGAAGACGCCGCCTCAGGGTCACATGGCTGACGTTTCCGCTTTAAGACTTACCGCTGAGAAAAGCAGGGCCGATTTCTATTTACATCAAGCGATCGCGGTTCACAGCCAAAGGACCCCAATTCCACCCGACGCTTAAAATCGCAGAGAGCTCTGGGGAATCTCCAGGTGCATCTCCTTCTGTTATTAACCTGAAATCGAAACTGCCTGGTTACGGGTACAAGTCAGTGCGAGGCCGAAGCGCGGCCAGCCGCCAGGCCGCGTAGGAGCGATTTCGGCGGGAAGCGTGTAAGAGATTCCGGACGTCCAGGTCCTGGGGCAGCAGGACCCCGGAACAAGGAAAGTCGTGCGCCCCCGCCTCCACCTGGTGCCCCGACAGCTTCAGCCGGCCCAGCAGGGAGTAGAGCCGACGCCAGAGCACCCCATCCAGAACCTGGGCGGGGGCAGCAGCCGCTTCCGGGGCGGAGCGAGCTACGGGTGGGGAAGAGGTGGCGGAAAACTGCTCTCTGGGACGCGTGGGGGTGGGGTGGGGGGGAAGAGGGCCTAGGCCTAGGCCTCCTGGGCAGCCGGTGGGAGGAGCTTCGTGTCGGAGGACTAACGAGAGCGCCAGGAGGAAGTTCTCGGGCCGAGTGACGAGGGGTGGCGGAGTAGAGTTCTCCCGCCGGGTTTCCTGGGCCTCCGGGGGAGAGGAGGAGGCGGAGCTCCAGATCGAAGCGGGCCTCCTAGGGAAATCTTTGCGCTCCCGGGTTCCCCAGGGAGCCGGTGGTGTGCAGGCTGGGGTGGAGCTCCAGTTGGGGGTACTTCCTGGGGCGGAGTGGGGGAGGATAAAGTTCCAGGGACAACGAGGGAGAAGAAAGATAGGGGAGCGGTGGAGGGGCAGAGGCGGTGGGGAATTGCCCCGACCGCAAGGGTGAGGGGTGGCGAGCGGGGGGGGGGGGTCGTCCGCTCGCGGCGGCTCACCACGACTGGTCTGGGGTCTGAAGTCCGGAAGGCCGGCGCGCGGGGCTGCGTCCCGGAGGTTGAGACCGCGTGACTGGGCGGGCGGCGAGCCGGACGTGGGTCACGGGGTGTAAAGGAGGAAGTGCCACCGACGGGCCCGCCAAGATGTCACCAATGGAAACGCGTCCAGCAGGTGCGGCCCAGCGGCCCGCGCGGTTGGCCAAGGCAGGAAGTGGGAGGAGGGAAGAAAAGCAACGAGGAAGACTGTTCTCCGTACTGAGGAAAGGTGCCAGTGTAGGGAAAAGTCCAGAGTACCAGCGGAGGAGGGGAGGAGGGCGGGCAAGGTTATGTGGAAGGAGAAACCGTTAACAAAAACAAAACAACCACCACCACAAAATACCCTTTGAAGGCAGGAAGAATTTAGAACGGGAACTAGTGTATATATCTAGTACGTTGTTTTGTAGATTTGACCAGACTCATGTAAACAGTTTGAATAGTTCTTAAAAGATTACTTTTAAAACACGCAATTCTTAAACTTAATGCCTAACAATGAATTACATTTTATGAACCTTTTAATCCTAATTCAAATGAGCACATTGGAAAACAATTACAAGGTAATTGAGTTATGTGAGCAGTGACTGAGTTATTTTACATCAGGAATTAAATCTACTTACTAGAAATAATTACGAAATTACAGGATTTACAAGGAAAGAGGACAGTAATAGACGAGAATATGGTGATGCAGTCTGTGAAGCTAGACTATACGAAACTAGAGAAGACAAATAAGCCAACCTTCAAACAAATTAGCTCCAACGGAAAAAAAAACAAGGGGACATTTATTGAATAAAAGACACAAGAGAATTATAAAGGATTTAAAACACATGGGATATATTTGGCTCTTGAATCAAACGGGTAAACGTAAGACAATTTAAGAGAGAACTGACTAGAAATTTGTTACGGGATGTTTACTTAGTTTTAGATATGAGAGAATTGTAGTTATGCCCAGAAAATAAATGAATATTTAGAAATGCATTTTGAAGTATTTGTAGATGAAATGGTGTGAAGTAGATAGGGGGTGTACAGAAAACCCGTCCATAATTAGTAATTGTTGAAGCTGGGTGATAGGATTCAAAATCTGTTTCATGGCAAGTGAGAAACAGGCACCAAAAACTCACATTCAAGAAATAAAACTGGCTTGTTTTTGGTAAGACTATCTACAGAAAAGGGTACCTTGACTGCTTCATAAACATTTATTTTGCTGCTTAAAATCCTCTTCTAAGTATATACCTGGTAATTTGTATGACTCATTTTCTCATTTTATTTTAATGTATTTGCTGCAGTTGGTTTAACTGGTTGGTGATACCGTCAATGCGAGTGTTAATAATTGATTAATCATGATAATGGTTCCTGCCAGTGAAGGAACAACAAGTACAGAATACACAAGGGAGCCTGGTGTGCCGAGACAGAAGGCACCTGAAAACACCTGCAAACAAGGGCTAAGCTCAACAAGAGGAAAGCAGAGGGAGCTCTATCCTCCAAAGGTCTGGTCGGGTATTTGGGACTTTATTCAAAGGCCAATAGGAAGCCATGTAACTGTTTCAAAGCATATACTGTATTACAAAACGTATTCTAGCAGAATGGTCTAGTTGCTGTTTGGAAACTCAATGGTGAGAAAAGATGCATGGGAAGGAATGAGACAAGTTTTGGAAGGATTAATGGTACCCTGCAACAGAAGCACTGTGGTGAAAATTGAAGCATGTGAAAGGATTTGAGAAATGTGCAGGAGATAAAATTAAACTTAAGAGTCATTTATTAACCCAGAAATACTGTGCATTTATGCAAGATGCAGGTCCACAGAACAGTGAACAAGAAAGAAATTAATTTTTAGAAATGCACTTTGAAGTATTTATGGCTGATACAGTATGATGGCTGGGATTTGCTTCAAAACTGAGTAAAGTAGATGGAAGATGTAGGGAAAAAAATGTCCATAATTGTTAATTGTTGAAACTGGTTGATAGTATTCAAAATCTAGCCATCCCAAGGGAAGTGAAAAACAGACAATAAAGAAATGTCTGATGACAAATTCTGAAATGACCAAACACTAGGAAATGGGGATTAACTTACATTGATTGGGGTTCCATTTAAAAAGACCAGAAGTCATGCATAGGTAGCTAAAGTTTCAAAGTAGAAATTAGAAGACCACATTATTCTTTTCTTTGTACAATATATTTTCCTACTTATTCCCCTTAGATGTTCGTTCAAATTCTTTAAAATTTAAAATGAAACCCTTTGCCAGGATGTTCTAGTGTTGGTTGCTTTGTACAAATATTTTCATTTTGTGGTAAATCCTTTTAATCTTTATATTCAGTTCTTATGAAACCCACAAGAGAATTTTAGATATCATTTCTGCTGCTCATGTATGTTTTTCACTTGAGCAGATAGTTCTGAAGAAGAAGCAATTCCCTCTCAAGGGGACAGTCCATGAGCAGAACCCAGATGTCTGTTACGGTTTCCTGCTGTACTAGAAATTATATTGGAAACCTCAAAGGTCTTTTCTAAGCCAACGATTTAAAAGTCCCAGTTTAGTGGCTTTTAAATATTTCCTGCTGTCAGGGATGAACTTGAGAGTACGATGCAGGTCTGAACCAACTTATTTAAAAAAATAAAATAAAAAATAAAAATAAAAAGCACCGACACGAAACTACTAAAATTTCAAGGGGGCTCATGCACCTAAGTGTGAGAAATCTTCTAATTTGCACAACATGCCAAGTTCAAGACACAAAGCTACCTAAGACAAAAGGTATTTGAATTATGAATCATTAAATACATTAACATTTTAAGTGTTCATTGCTTTAACTACATTTTTATCCATCAACGGGGATAATGTTATGATCTGTAAGCAACAGGAAAGCTGTTTTCTAATATCTTTTAACTAGTAGGCTCTTTAGATTACTTAGTATAGGTAAATCTGGGGTAATACAATGTTTTTCCTCAGTTTTTATTTCTCAAAAGCTGTGTTAACTTAAAAGCAAAAACAGTATATGTGATGTCAGGTAAATTACAATGCTTGTATTGAAATTAACAAAGGATAAATTTTTGTCCAACAGAACAAGCAACTATTGTTCTCTACATATTTTTAAATTTCAATAATCTTAAATAACATAATCAAAATAATGTGATCAATATAAAAAATTGATATATTTCACATTTTTTTCATACTAAGTCTTAAAATCTTGTGTGTATTTACACTTACAGCCCATATCAATTTGGACCAGCCACATTTCAAGTGCTTATTAGCCACATGTAGCTAATAGCTACCATCCTGGATAGGCACTGATCTGTATCAATGGTCTTCAACCTTTTTCATCTCATGGCACATCAAAAATAAAAGTGTAATTTTGACTTATTCACACTCTATGGCTATTGTTGTGTTGGTTTTTGTCATTTTTTTAATTAAACAATACGTGGGAAAAGAGGTCAGTGCCCCTGACTGACTAGTTATTGCATGTTTTAAAAATTCCTGCAGCACACTGGTTGAAAATCGCTGATCTATGTATTACTGATTCCATTTTGCAGAGAAAAAAATACATAGTAGATGGTCTTCATAAAAAGAAACACTATTAGACTTCAATTGCTAAAGATAAAATCTGTTCTCAATTCAGGGGAAAATTTCACCACCTGTATTAATTGGTATTGCTCTTTCCATATTAGAAAATATGATTCTAGCATAGATAAGAAATGGGGGGTAGGGTAGATATTTTGCTAAAGTAAATACAATTGCTAAGAAGATAATCTCCCAGTTACTTGCCCCTTTGCCCCCTACATCAACTTTCCTGTAGCTTTCTCCCTGGAAGCAAGTAGCCTATGAGCTGGGCAAGCAATTAGATTAAAGAGCTGGGCAAAAGTCCTTAGGAGGCCTGCGGGTTACACTTATGGTCTCCAGGGAGATCACTGCAGTATATGCTCATGGTCTCCTCCAGAAGGTGTGTTTCAGGGCGCCTAGAGCCTCATCCTGGGGGCTTGGAGAGGAGAACCTTATGCTCACTGCTGGTTGCTGCTTAAGCACCATGGCACACTGTCCTAGGAAAGTGGAAAACAGACAAGAGAAGGAAAAGAACAGAACATGCTTGAGGGGCTTCCAGTATCCCAAGAGAATAATACCACACACAGGAAAACAGAACAGCATTTTTTAGGAACAAGAAGTGCTGGGCAAAACCATAAATAACAGGAAAAAAAACAACAAGCACTTTCA